CCTGACCCTATAGCCCCCCAATCACTGACCCCTGACCCCACAGCCCCCCCTATCGCTGACCCCTGACCCCACAACCCCCCCTATTGCTGACCCCTGCCCCCTGCCCCCCCCCTCTGACCCTTGACCCCGCAGCTGGTTTGACAAATCCTTCACGCTGGTTGTTTACCGGAACGGCAAACTGGGCGCCAACGCCGAGCATTCGTGGGCTGACGCCCCCATCATTGGGCACATGTGGGAGGTAGGGGGGCTGGGGGCGGTGGGGAGGGGGGACCCCATATGGGCTCTGTGGGGCGCAGGCACAAAGCACCCCGTGTGGGGGCTCCTGGGGGTGAGGGGTCCCGCTTTGATGGGGGGACCCCTGTTGGGTGACCACCAGAATGGAGACCCCCAGAATGGGGACCCTCAGGATGGAGACCCCCCCATTGGCCACCCCCAAAGTGGGGACCCCCACTGGGAGTCCTTAGGATGGAGACCCCCAGTGGGACCCCCAGAGCAGGGACCCCGAGTTGGGCACCCCTGCAGTGGGGACCCCCATAGAGACCCCCATAGAGACCCCTATTGGGCGACCCTAAATGGAGACCCCCATTGGCCACCCCCAAAGTGGGGACCCCGAGTTGGGCACCCCTGAAGTGGGGACCCCCATTGGGAGCCCCCAGAGTGGAGACCCCCAGGATGGAGACCCCCATTGGCTACCCCCAAAACGGGGACACTTATTGGCCACCCCCAAAGTGAGGACCCCCATTGGGAGCCCTTAGAATGGAGACCCCCATTGGGCGACCCAGAGTGGAGACCCCCATTGGGCGACCCAGAGTAGGGACCCCCATTGCGAACCCCCAGAATGGAGACCCCCAGGATGGAGACCCCCATTGGCCATCCCCAAAGTGGGGACCCTCATCGGGATCCCTTAGAATGGAGACCCCCACTGAGTGACCCAGAATGGGGAACCCCAGGGTGGGGACCCCCATTGGCCACCCCAAAAGTGGGGACCCCGAGTTGGGCACCCCTGAAGTGGGGACCCCCATTGGGAGCCCCCAGAGTGGAGACCCCAATTGGGTGACGCAGAGTGGGGACCCCCATTGGCCACCCCCGAAATGGGGACCCCAAGATGGGCGACCCTGAAGTGAGGACCCCCACTGGGAACCCCCAGAATGGAGACCCCCATGGGCCACCCCCAAAACGGGGACCCTTCTTGGCCACCCCCAAAGTGAGGACCCCCATTGGGAGCCCTTAGAATGGAGACCCCCACTGAGTGACCCAGAATGGGACCCCCAGGATGGGGACCCCCATTGGGCGACCCTAAATGGAGACCCCCAGGATGGAGACCCCCACTGGTCAGCCCCAATGTGGAGACCCCGAGTTGGGCTCCCCTGAAGTGGGGACCCCCATTGGGAGCCCCCAGAGTGGAGACCCCCATTGGGTGACCCAGAGTGGGGACCCCCATTGGGAGCCCCAAGAATGGAGACCCCCCCAGAATGGAGACCCCCATTGGCCACCCCCAAAACAGGGACCCCTATTGGCCACCCCAAAATTGGAGACCCCCATTGGGAGCCCTTAGAATGGAGACCCTCATTGAGTGACCCAGAGTGGGGACCCCCTTTGGGAACCCCCAGAATGAAGACCCCCATTGGGTGACCCTGAATGGGGACCCCCAGGATGGGGACCCCCATTGGGTGACTTAGAATGGGGACCCCCTTTGGGAACCCCAAGAATGGAGACCCCCATTGGCCACCCCAAAAGTGGGGACCCCGAGTTGGGCACCCCTGAAGTGGGGACCCCCATTGGGAGCCCCCAGAGTGGAGACCCCAATTGGGTGACCCAGAGTGCGGACCCCCAGAGTGCGGACCCCCATTGGCCACCCCCGAAATGGGGACCCCAAGTTGGGCACCTTGTTGGGGGGCAGGGAAAGGCTGGGGGGCTCCATGATGTGGGGGGGGCTGTGGGGTTGTGGGGTGTGGGATTGGGATTTGGGGTTAGGATGTGGGGCTGGGG